TTTGAACAGATGTTCTCCAGGGAGATGAGCGACTCAGCGAACTTGTTTGCTGGCGTAGCGTGGCATCATATCAGATCAAGCGTTATAAGTCAAAACTGGCATTATAAAGTTGTAACAGGTTATCAATTTATAAACGTTGTAAGTGCAAAACGTTGCAACTCAAAACGTTGTAAGTTGAGGACTGCCTGTACTAGTATAAGGAGTGTGTGAAAAAAGACTCCTATTTCTGCAACTGACTCTTTAACACAGGCATCTGTCTTTGCTTTGTCCTCACTATTGTCATCAGCGTGCATGACTAGGGTAGATGAAACATTTGAAAGAGATATTTACTCATTTTTGTAAGGGACCAGTAAGAAGTGGTAGGTAGGAAACACTCCATCCCAAAAATTCCCAGATACTATCGTCTGGTTACTTCAGTCGTACAACTAAACAAAATTGGCTGCAATGAAATTCCAGGTGACCTGGGCACTGTTCTGAACAATACCTTCAAGCATCTAATTTTCCACAAAACTTGAAGCCAAACACATACACCAAGTAATACAAAGTCACATGCATTCAAGGATTCAGATACCAACCATAGCAAACCCAGGCTGAAGATGGCAGGAGACAAAACATCCCTCTTATATCATCAGTACTGAAAAGCTTTATTCTGGGAAGTGGCAGGAAAGAAAATAAGTATCCATAATAGAGACCTAACACCATGTAGTATTTCATGTATCCTCTGAAAAGTCATGTTATCTAGTTAAGTTGTAGTAACAACATCAAAATACGGGGAGAAAAATGCTTCTTTTTATAAATCAGGAAACCAAGCCTTGCAAATCTATCCAGATAAACAAACACTTCCATACAATGCAGAACCTGGCTTTTTATCAGCTCTCTCATTTATTATCTTAAGTTTTAAAGAATGTTATGTAGCCTCAAAAATACCATTAGATATACAAACAAGTTTATCCAGAGCTTTCCAGTTATGCACAAGAAACTATGACAAGATTTAATAATGTAAAGAATAAAAATACAAAAACGATTACAACTAATGAATCAAATATAATATGCTCAAAATTAGGTTTCAGACCCTCTACTGCTAACATTTCTCTCAGATGACAGCTACAATCAGAGCAAATACAACCATCTTGAGACTGGAAGTCCTGCCCCTAACCCCTGACTTTTGCCACCAGACTTCCCTCCCCTTCCTCCCCAGAAGTACTCCTTTTGAAGAGGAGGGTTGCCACCTTGGAACCAGGAAAAAAACAAATCATATGCTAAAAGTCAAACACCTACTATAACATACTTTAATTTTATTACAAAAACTATTTTTGTTGTGATTTCTGTCTGCATAGTGTACATAGAGGTGACTGCATAACAACTTAAAAAAGCCTTACTCTTGTATATTGTGTGGGGGGGGGTGTATGGTAGATTGTGCAGTGGTATGTGGCTGCTGGGGGGTGGCAAAAGGGTATGCTGGGGGGTGTATATATGGGGGGTTGTGTGGGGCCAGGTGTGGGTGTGTGGTGTTTGTGGGGTGTGAAGGAGGAGGGTATGGGGACCTCCCATACAGTCCCCTCCCATGGTACATAACCCCCACCACTGGCAGCAGCATGCAGAAGGTGCTTGGTGTGCTTGTAGCCCTCGCAGGCTCTGCTGCCCGATGGCGCACAGCTCTACCCAGCACCGCACATGGTGGCAAGGAGCCACGGCCAAGCCAGCCCGCCTCTTATTGCACACGTTTCCACCACACATGTGCAACTTCTGGCACTTGCGCAGCACCAGGGAAGCCGCCATGTAATGGAACCAGCTGTCTCTCTCGCCCCCTGCTGTGCAAGTCCTGGAACTCTGCCAGGAAGTGGGGGCGTGGCTCTCCACCACTTCCAGCAGTCCCGGGACCTGCACAGCAGAGAGTAGGGAAGGCAGATGGGTCCATTGCGCAGTTCTTCTCCCAGTGCCACGAGCTGCATGTGCGCCACAGGGAGCCCTGTATGATACAGGTGGGCTGGCCTGGCTGCACCCCCTGCCATGTGCAACGCTGGCCAGAGCCGCACACCCCAGGAGGCAGCACAAACACGGGCCATGAGCACCCCAAGTGCCTGCCACCCGTTGCTGCTGCTGCCTCCAGCAGCAGGGCCTGTGTGCCATGGGGGGGCGGGGGGGAGTGTGTGGAGGGTCCCCCACACCTCCCTCACGCCCACCTGAACTCCATGTTCCCAACACCCCCCTGGGCACAGGCTCCACACTGCTGCCAGCCCCAGCCCCATGCTCCCAACCAGCTGTAGCTCCCCCTGCCCCCACCGCTTCCGTAGCTGGTGCTCAGAGCAAGCAGGATGTCAGCGAAGTCAAGCAGATTGCCTGGTGGCTGCAGCAGTGGCAGCAGCTGTGTGCTGGCTGGGCCAGGCCCTTCCACCCACAAGGGTGGGAACAAGGCACATGGGCTGAGATGGGTACAATTAGTTAGTGGATGCCTGTGGGCCAGATGAAATTACCTGAAGGGCCATATGTGGCCCGCAGGCCTTATTTTGCCCGCCCCTCATTTAGTGGTTCAATATTGAACTCCCTTTAAAAAAAAAAACTATTGCAATTAATCAAACTTGAATGCAGCACTGCTTTCTTTCAATGGCTAGGCTATTAGACAAAGGTTAGATGGAGCACAACATTGGCTTTCAATTCTCAATAAACTTAGGGAAAAAATAAAGACTCACAGGGTCTTGTTCATTTCACCTCCACTTCAATTGCAGACTGCAAAGTAGGCCTAATTTTCGTGTTGAAACTTACAAAGATGCTGTTCAAAGGCCATTGCCACATTGAAAATATTTAGGCTGTGACAAAGTGGTGAAATAGGATCGATATTAGCATTGTAATTTCTTGGGAGTGAAGAGAAAAAAAAACAGAAATCTATCTTTAATTTTCAACAGTTGCATAGAGTTGGTCCAAGTCCTGTGCACTCAGCACAGACCTGTCATGGAAATTTATAAAATAATAACTTAAGAGCATTGTGAACTGCAAAGTGCCACACACATGTAATTCCTGACCTTGAAAACAAGCATTCATCTCTTCCAAGGAGAATGAAGTATCACTTCTTAAGGCATGTCATGTGTACTCAAAAAAGCCATTAGGTGTACAAAAAGGTTACCCAAACCACCGCACAGCTTCCATTAATACTAAGAGCATCCTGGGGACATGGAAGTTGGTATTTTATCAAAGCCATCAGAACTTCAGCTGCAAACAACAGGAGATGCAGGTGTTCAGTATCTTTGAAAATGGGGCCTACCAAGGACCTCAAACCCATGCGTAGCCTCACCACAGAGAAGAGCTGGTATTTCTAGAGAGGGGTGGTTCTCCACAATTTCCTTGCGATTTTGCACACAAAATCTCTGGATTTAGCGACTGCAGCTGGTAACTACCCACTTTTCATGGTCTCTCCTGAAACATTTACGTGACTATCCAGGATATTTTGTTGAAGCAGGACAACTTACTACACCAGCCTGGTGCTTATGGACTAAGCAACAGGCCAAGAGCCAGGAACCCTTGAATCACAGGGCTGGCTCTGCCCAACTGACTTGCAATGTGGCACGTAAAGGATCAAGCTCTCTGCCTTTCAGCTTCCCCCCTTTTGCGAGCTGGGGGGTGGAAATCTTGACCTTAGCCAAAGCCTAAGCTCCATGTTCGGCAGCAGGCCCAGCAACACCGCTGCCTCCTTCCACACACACGAGAAATGAAAAGGCATTTTGGGGCCTCGTACTTGACACTGGCTGCTGTGCCTCAGGGTGGTCTTTTTAAGTTCTTTTGTTTCTAATAACTGAGCAGCTAGTGCCGCATTTCGGTAGCTTTGCGCGTCTTCCTTCAAGTCTGAGGGCAACAGGCCCCGTCTGGGCACTGCCCGTGTCACTGCCCTCCTGGGGCAAGGGCGAGGCCGGGGCTCCCGGCGGGTGCTCTGGAGGCCGCTCAGCTGGGAATGGGGGCTCTGCTTCTCCATTGGCCGGCAGGCGGCGGTGACAGTGTCGCCGGCCTCCGGCCCCAGGAAGCAGGCCTTGAACTGCTGCTGGCCTCACCTCCCCAGCGCCCGGGGCCGAGGGAGCGCAGCGCGACGCCGCAGCCGCAAGCGGGTCCCGTCACCCCCCACCCCCAGCCCGGGGGTCGCTGAGCCCCCCACCCGAGCACAAAACAGGACCCAGTTCCTGTATTTTGGAGCCGGAGCCAATCAGGAGCCGCCTTGCATTCCCCGACACGCCACGGCGGCTTGTGACGCGCTGCGCCATTCGCCGGCGCTCCAGCCCCTCGTACGTGCCCTCAAATAACCCTCCCCGGCTGCTCCACAATAGGCGCCTCCAGCCGCCCGCAGTGCAAGCACCCCCAGGCCTCGGCCGCCACCCCCCGCCCGCGCCCGCACTTCACCTCACCTCACCTCACCCCAGCCGGCCCGGCCCGGCCCGGCCCAGCCGGGGTCCGGCCGCTGCGGGGGAACTTGTGGGGAAG